TTCCATGATACATTTGTTCTGCTCCAATTCCATTCCAATCTTTCTTAAACAAACCTCTGTTTATGTGTATCTTGAATAAATCCAGCTAGTTGATGGATCGTGAAAATTAATCCTGAAGATAAGGTGCTTCTAAGTCCTTATTATTTCATCTACTAGAATTTTGTGGGGTTTTTTTTTTTCATTCTTCTAAGTATCTAGAATATAGTGCTTAATTTGTTTTAAATATTTACTGAGTACCTACTATATGCCGGTAAAACTCTGGGGGTAGAGACCATCCCGGGCCTTCCTTCATCTTGCCTTTGGAGCGAGAAGGGCAGAGAAGTACCAGGACTTCTTCAGAGAAGAGGCCAGGGGTGGGTGGGGGTGGAAAGCTCAGGCCTCAACCCTGGGCCCCCAGGGGATGTTCTCATAAACAGGGGTGGCCCACAAATTAATGAAATGGGAAACCACTGGGCCAAGAACAAGGAGGAGAGAATGCATAGTAGTTAGGTAAACAGGGGTATAAATCCGTATATTACTATTAGTCGAGCACGAAATGAACTCTTTTAGGAACTTTATGTTCCCATCTGTGTTGAATTGAGGCTCATGTTACAGCACTTTCCCATTAGCCAGAAATAGTAACTTTCCATCAGTAGCACTTGAGCATTTACCTTAGGAACTTTGCAGGAGTTGTCTCTGAGGTGACCATTATTTTTTCCTTGAATTTTATGAAACTGGTTTTGCGAGGGAACTCACAATCCTATGGAATGGAATACATGTTTACAAATTTAAAAACCTTTTCTCCAAACTTTTTTTGGAAAGTTTCTAAATGTACAGATGGCATAATGAATACCCGAAAACTGTTCACCTAGAACAGGGCCGGTAGACTACAGCCCGTGGGCCAAATCCAGCCCGATGCCTGCTTGTGTAAATGAAGTGTATAGGGATGCTGACAACTTCCATTCATTTGTGTATTTGTCTGGCTACAATGAAAGAGTTAAGTCATTTTGACAGAGACTACCACAGGCCCACAAAGCCATGTTTACTATCTGGTACTTCACAGGAAAAAACTGCCAACCTTTGAGATATAGATTCACCAATTGTTAATATTTTGCCATATTTGCTTTATTTCTTTCTCCATAACAAGCAGATGTCATTCTCTCTGTCTGTCTCCTGTGCATGCACACACACACACACACACACACACACACACACATTTTTTTCTTGAACCGTTGGCAATTGTGTTATAGACATGATAACTTATCCCTAAATAATTCATATATTTGCCTAAAAATAAAGGCATTCTCTCATATAACCACAATACCATCATCATCATCATGCCTAAGAAAATTAACATTCATCCAATAATATTATCCAACAACAGTCCACATTTAAACTGGACTTTCATAGCCTTATTTACTTTTCCTTTTTTGGATCTAGGATCCAATCAAGGGTCATACATTACATTACGTCACCATGTCTCTTTAGCCTCTAATTTTTGTTTTCGCATGACATTGACTTTTTGAAGAGTCCTTTAAAAACTTCTTTCGAAGCCTAAGTCTTAATGAGTTTGCAATACTACCCTAGTAAGAGCTAAATTGAATAGTCATTGTGGTAAATCAGTGTCTTCACTTCTTCTTTGCCAGGTTTTAGAACCAGTTGTGTTGCTTGGCTTCTGAAGCTAAGACACTAAGATGTTAGTTTTGCTTGGAGTTGTAAATGTGGGAAAAACTCAGTGTGAAGAGTAAGGCAGATGGGAATTTGCAGGATGCATTTTAGGTAATTAAAGGCACAGCTTCCCCACCAGCTGTGGTCGCTGCCCCTGTTAGCTCTTGGCTGGTGGCGGGGGTGGGGGTGGGGGTGGGGGGGCGCTTTTCTCCTGTCTGGGGTCTGGCTCCCTTCCAGCATCATTAGATTGCAGCACGGAGCTGGAAGGAGACCTGCCGTTATTTAAATCTTCCAGCCCAAAATGTTCAAGCTGGCGACGCAATGCTTCTGTGTTTGCAGTTTGTGTGCTGAAGATAGCGTGGCACTCGGGGCGCATCCGGGAATGCACGTGGGAAGAGCACCTTCTTGCCTTTCTTGAGAATCTGACGTGCCACAGTCTTGTGCCTCTGATGGGACCACATGGTGGGTCACAAGTCTGGTCCTTTTAATGGGGTCCCAAATGATTCCTAGAAAATTCCGGGACCCATCCTTTGCTTTCCTCTGGGTAAGAAACCCTCAGAGCTCCTAGGCCAACCAGAAAGAGAGTTGCATGCCTAGAAAAGACTCACCTGAACCTCTACAAACCTCTGGAGATGGGAGGGAAAATAGAAAAACTCCAAGGAGAACTGGATAATTTTAAAACATGCAAAGTAATTGCAGGGGAGCCTGTGAAGGGTATGGATGACTTCAGACTCTTACCAGCTCATGGTCAGTCTACAAGAGGTGTTGTGAAGGACACAGATATTGTGACTGATGGTACTTCTTACCTACTGAAAAATCCAGGGGCACAGGGAAGAAAACATTCTGGGGTGGGCCACCCTCCATGGGGGGAAGTGAGATTTGAGCATCTCCTCATTGGTCTCCCTGTCTCCTGTCTTGTTCCTCTTAAGTCCTTCCTTTACACCCTCTCCCTCCCACCCAGGCCTACCCCCAGCAATCTACTTCTGCTGCAGACCTGGGCATTTACTTCTCAGATCACCACCCCTCTGTGACTTCCATAGCCTGCCTTCCATGGCCTTCAAGGACCCCATGATCAGACCCTGACTCCAAAGCCTCATCTTCCTTTGATACCGGCCTCAGATTTGATGCTTGAATTCCTCATATATGCCACGTTGTTTTGCACCTCCATCCTTTGCTAGTTGTGTGGCCTTAATGATGCTTAATTGTTCTGTGCCTCATACTGTTCATCTGTAAAATGAGGATGATAATAGTACCTACCTCATAACGTTGTGCAGGGATTAAGTGAACTAATATATGTAAAATTCTTGGAAGAATGCTTGGCATATAATAAGGGCTAAATAAACATTAGCAATTTATTGCTATTGCTCTTGTTATTTTGAACCTGGATGTATTATCTTTTTATTGCTGCATAAAAAATTACTGTAAACTTAGCATGTTCAGTCAACACCCACTGATTATCTTAGTTTCTGTAATCAGAAGTATGGACATGGTGTGACTGAAGACTTTGCTCACAGCGCTGAAATTGGGGTGTTGGCAGGGGCTGAAGTCCAAGCTGAGCTTCTTCCAAGCCTCTTCCAAGCTCATGTTGTTATTGACAGAAGGCATCTCCTTGAAGCTATAGAACTCATGGTCAGCAGGAACTCTGACTTCACCTTCTTTGAAAAGCTCCCCTGATTAGGTCAGGTGCAATCAGGTCATCTTTCTTTTGATCAACTCAAAAGAGTGATATCCCATCTCATGCCCAGGTTCCACTGGCACTCAAGGGGAGGTGATTAAACAGGGTGTGTCCGTCAGTGGGTGAGATCCTTGGGGACCATCTTAGAATCCTACCTACACACTGGTCATTGGGAAATACTATGATTTTTGTTCGCTTTGTTAAATTGCACTTGGGTGAATATATGATTTATTTACCACCACCATTAATTCAGATTTTTGTAGCATCTTTCTTAGAGCATTTAGATGGATTCTCATTGATCTGCATCCTGGAACCAGCCTTCATCTTTCCTTTCCTGTAGTTTGAACTACCTGATGGGACCAGTTAGCTCATCAGAAGTCTTTTAGGAAGAGGATAATTGGAGACTTGTAACTGATGAACCTGCTGCTAACATCCTAGAGTTCCAAAAGTATGACTCACAATTTGCAATTCCTTCCAGAGCCATTTATTTATTCATAATGACTCCCAACAGATGAAGACCAGAACCCTCCTCAGCTGTCGATTGTGTCTGCTACTCTGCCAGGTCAAAGTAAACTTGTACCTGCTAGAGAAATTTGTCACCATGAGGAGGGTCTTTGACATTATATTCAAAAGATTTCCTTGCCCCCTCATTTTTCCCTTTCCAATTAAGTCTAGATTTCCCCACCCCATTTAATTCAGTTTATAAGTCCACAAAGAGGTATTACTGGTCAAAACCCATTGATAAAGGATGTATTTTAAAAATTTTTTATTGGAATATAGTTGATTTACGATGTTGTATTAGTTTCAGGTGTACAGCAAAGTGAATCAGTTATACACATACATATATCTATTCTTTTTTAGATTCTTTTCCCATATAGGCCATTACAGAGTATTGAGTAGAGCTCCCTGTGCTATACAGTAGGTATATTAGTTATACCTTTATGTATAACTAATACATAGGTCTTTATTAGTTATATATTTTATTTTATATATAGTAGTGTATATTAGTTATACCTTTATGTATAACTAATACATAGGTCTTTATTAGTTATATATTTTATTTTATATATAGTAGTGTGTATATGTCAATCCCAACCTCCCAATTTATCCCTCCCCCGCCCTTACCCCTGGTAACTATAAGTTTGTTTTCTACAAACTGTATTTCTGTTTTGTAGATAAGTTCATTTGTACCCTTTTTTAAGATAAGGATATATTTTTGAAGATCAGTTGAAAAGAAAAACTTGTTGAAGATGACACTTGGGTAGTAAAACCTATTTAAAAATATATATATATCCATTTTGAACCAGATTCTAGGCAATAAGACGTGGACAAAACTTTGAAGCAATAGGGAATTCATGCGTTTTGAGTACTATTTCCCCCAAATTGCTAATTTCTACTTTCCAATGGCATTTAACTTATAGTTTTATACAAATGTGAAAAGATAAAGGGAAAAAAATGAATTTGACGTAGCTGCAGGTTTAGAAGTTTGAAGTGTCTCTTTATTCCAGCATTTCCTAAAGAGGTATGATTTTATTATCCAACAGGCCATGACTCACACCTGACTCTCGCTGCCTCAATGACTGACATCCCTCCAGTAATTTGGACTATTAAAGAAGAAAGACTGGTTCATAAAATAATATAAAATAATATAGACTTGGATTTCTTTTCTTCCTTCTAGGACAATATCATATTATTCTTGAGAGGTTGTAAAGAGCTCGGCCTTAAAGAATCTCAACTTTTTGACCCGAGTGACCTACAGGATACGTCCAACAGAGTAACAGTCAAGTAAGTAATGCATGATTTATGTTCAAGAGAAACCCATTTATGGTTTAATTTGCAGTTTTGTGATGATGATGTAAGGTCTAAGAGGCAGAGAATTGGGCATGCCTAATAAAATTAAAATGTGGAGGTAAAAATCTAGCTTTCAAAATAAACCACATTGGCCTTCCCTTGTGTATAGCTTTCATTCTGATCAAACATAATTTTTTGAAATGCAAAAATCATGTACATAGAGTTAGAATTTTAGAGAAAGGGAAGAAAATGTTAAGTGAAACTTAACAGAGGGAGAGGCAAGGGAGAAATATGCACAAATCTGTTTGGGTTAGACAAAAAGCTTTTATTGGCTCCAGTTGGGCATATGAATAGGCTCCTGGAAGACTGCAAACTCCTAAACAGATTTGAACTCTGTTTATTATGCAAAGAAGTCAATAGATTATGGAAAAATCTATTCTTCATTTACACTTGTAACTGTTTTCTCATATGTGTCAGTGATCAAGTTCTTTGAAGATGGATCATTGGCCATTTGGCTATTGTTGACTGTATCTACTCAGTGAGCCATGTTTGGGGCCAAAGAATTCTTGGGAAAGAATGTTATAGTAAAAGAAAAGGCAATGTGCTTCTCTATGAAGAAATAGCTCATGAGCAGAGTAATGAGATGAAAAGTCCTTTTGAGATGGTAGAGGTAACTTTCCTGTAGTTTAAAAGTTCTTTAGACTCTACCAAATTCAGATAAAACCTTTTTGAAATTAGTCAAACAGTATTTGGCATTAATATGCTTTAATAATAAGCTTGATTACATAGATAGCATCTTTGGACTGGCTATACTTCTCCTTTTGATTACTTTTGGGTCATTTTATCATAGAAGGACAGAAAAGAGAAAGAAACCAAAATTCAGAGCTGTTAATTTTTTGCTATTTGCCGATACTGGCTTTTTCTTCATCATGGGGAAAAATAATTGAAACTACTAAATGAAATCAAGTTGGAGTTCATATTGGATTTTATGATTTTTGGATTTTATGATTTATGACTGGGAATAAGGGAGAGTCAGCCATGATTGATTATGTAAAAAGCACTTCTCTGTTGTCAATGTGCCTTTTCTTTTTTGAAGTACAATTAACATACACCATTATATTAGTTTTAGGTGTGCAACATAATGATTTAATATTTGTATATATTGCAAAATGTTTACCACAACAAGTCTAGTTAACATCTGTCACCATATAAAGTTTATTTTTCTTGTGATGAGAACTTTTAAGATCTACTCTCTTAGCAATTTCTTAGCAACTTTCAAATATGCAATACAGTGTTATTAACTATAGTTGTCATGCTGTACATTACATCCCCATGACTTATTTATTTTATAACTGGAAGTTTGTACCTTTGACCTCTCTTTAATACTTCTCATGGAAAATTTTTACTTAAGTGTAAAAAGAACAGAATAAAAATTATGATATTTGAATATGTAAACCACCATAAACCTCATTTTAGTCCTCACATGCTCCATTTATTTCTGTACCTAAATCCAGCCTCTATAAATCATTATTCATTTTAGGAAATTGTTTCAGGTTCTGCCTCATCTCACATTCATAGTTTCACCTGGGTGGCAAGTGACCAGAAACAATAGTAACTGTGTGACATGGTAGGTAATCATTTGTTACACACACATTGATTAGAGTGTGAAGGAAAGTTCACTTTGACACTGTTGGCAGCTGCATTCATTTCTTTTTAAGAGTCACTTTAAATCAATACGTTACTAAACCAGGAGGCTTCTGAGACTGATTGGTTTTAGAAATTCAGAACTCATATCACTTTACTGCTTTTCTACAAAACCGTGAGCATCGGGAAATCTCAGGTCTACCTCTACATCTGCTACCCCCAGGTCTATAATCCTAGGCAAGCTCCCTTGCTTCAGTAGGGCTCTGTGTCTTCATCTATAAAATGGAATTGGACAGAATGTTCATTTGTGTGTGTGTGTGTGTGTGTGTGTGTGTGTGTGTGGTATTCATCCTGAAGAATGTTCCATGTGCACTTGAAAAGAATGTGTATTCTGCTGCTTTTGGTTGTAATGTTCTGCATATATCTAATAAGTCCATCTTATATGTCATTTGAAACTAATGTTTTATTATTGATATTCTGTCTGGATGATCTGTCCATTGATTTAAGTAGGTATTAAAGTCCCGTACTACTATTGTATTACTGTCAGTTTCTCCTTTTATTTCAGTAAATATTTACATTATGTATTTAGGTGCTCCTTTCTCCCTCTCTTCTCCTTCCCAGACCCCAATAATAAGAATGTTAGCATGTTTGATGTTGGACAGAATGTTCTTTCAGGTATGATTCTAGCTAAAGCTTTCTCAGTGCAGATCTGGGAAGATGGTTCAACCAACTTCTAAAGAAAGCGACTTTAGTTCAAAGGCACAGAAAGCAACCTAAAGGAAAAAAAGTCACTTAGACCAGTGGCACACAGACAGTCACTTCTCAATTACTGGACAATCTTCCCCTTCTCCTCTTCTTTTCTCTGTTCTTTTTCTCTTTCTCTCTGCTTCTTTTCTCTGTCTCCTTCTCTTCCCTATGCTTCCCTTCCCTTCTTTATCATACCTTTCCATCTGTCTCCCATTTTTGCATTTCTTCTCCTCATTTTCTTCCCTTTTAAGTTTTTCCTTCACTTGAGATTATTATTTTCATTAAGCAATACTTGCCCATCGCCTTCCCCTATGTCATTTTTCATTAATTCAACAAAGATTTACTGAGCAGCTACTATGTGTCTGATACTTTCCAGTCACTAGAGAACGGGCCCCCTGTTCACAGGGAATTTATACCCTGTGTCAAGAAATGGGAAGTAAATAAGTAAATTTTTAAAAATTGCAGGGAGTGATAAGTGCTGAGAAGAAAATAAAATAATAATAAAATAGATGGTGTAAAAGATAGTGACCATGGCAATATATACATATATCAAATCACTGTGTTGCATACCTTAAACTTATATAACGTTTTATATCAATTATATCTCAGTCAAACAGGGGGGAAATAAAAAAGAAAGGTGGTCAAGAATGGTCTCTCTAAAGACGTGGCATTTCAGCTGAGGGCTGAGACATGAATGGGAAGCAAGAGCCAGACATGCTAAGATCTATAGGGTATTCAGGGCAGAGGAATCAGGTAGAAAGGCTGGGAAGAGAAACAAACTTGATGTCTAGAAAGAGAAAGAAGAGTGGCCAGCCAGTGTGGTAGAAGGGTAATGAGCAAGGACGAGCGTCGTGGGAGGGGTGGTCCACAAGTGTTGTAGGTTGTTGAATTTGGCATAATTATGGAGAAAACATTTTTATTTCACTGTATGAATATTTAGAAGCACATAAAGAACTTTATATTAAAAATTATGCCATAAATTCATTTCTGGTACTTAGAAAATCTTTTCTAGTATTAGGGAAGATTGGGGCATGGAATGAGCTATCTGCTTCACAACTTTTCTGTAAGTGATGCTGGTTTAACTTGGCACTGTCCAGGGGACATTTGCAACATATGTAGATTTCATAGCTATGGAAGATGAAAGTAGAACTGCTATATTTTTCTGCTTTCCCCTCTGAAAGTTGAGCCAAACATTAGCAGAGATGGAGAACCCCCTACTGACACCAATTAATAGTGGAAGCAATAGGTAGAGGGGTAGATCCCAAAGAGGAAATTTTGATGCTTTTTGAAATTGTCTTTTGAAAAATACTCTTTAGATTAGCTTTCATTGTGGGTAATTTTTCTTCTTCTTATTTTTTTTTGAGAAGTAACTTGAGTAGACTATAAAGAAAGAAAGAGGGAAAACTGCAAATGATTACTCTGTGTGTAATTTCGTGAACTCTACTGTAATGGGTGCCAGACGACCTTGATGGGACATGAAAACATAATCCAGAAGGGCATGCAGCAAGTATCATTCCAGGGAATCGCAGCAATTGGATGAAAATGAGGAAAGCCTTTGGATTGCTCCCGAGGATGTCTCTGAAAAATGTGGGAGCATTTTCACGTAATTGGTTGTTACGTGGAAGTCATTCAAACAAATATTTTGTGAGCTCCTACTGTGTGCCAAGCGTGATTTTTTTTTAGAACTGGGTCACAATTTTAGTCAAAAAACAGTCATTGGCAGTGCAGAAAAAGTCTTATGTTCCCTGTTCTTAAGTTGTTTTTCACAAAAATTTCAAATCTTCTATAGATTTTTGTTTTCATCTGGTTTTGCTGCTGTTACTGTTGTTAAATTATTTTAAATCCTAGCAAATATCTAAGCAGATAATGACAAATCTTTCTTTCTGTTAATAGGGGGGAATATGAAAACATGTTCTTAATCAAATCCAAATTGGACCACTGCTTCTTACAGTCTAAGTCTCTGTTGATGGTTTATCTCCTTAGTATAGACTAGATTAGTATAGACTATAGACTACATTGTTTTCTAGTCCCTCAAGTCTCAATTGACTTAAAATTGTGTATCTATTCATTAATATGTACTTTGGGTCACAGTATGCAGCAGTAAGGTAACTGGGATCTAAATATCTGGAGGAATTCTTTTTTATATAATAGAATTACATTCTCCCTCCCCAGCACCCCCCCCCCACTGAAGTTCTGTGGAAAAAAGAAGTGTAGCATTTATTTTCCTAGTATTTATTTGTTGACATGTTAAAGAAACTTTGAAATAATTTGGGAGAAATTTTTATATTTCACTGTATGAATATGTAGAAAGTACCGCCAAGTAGCTTTTTTGGTTTATAGTTTGAGAATAAACATTTATGTATATTTAAGAATGCGTGTGTGTATATTTGAACATAGCATGCATATTTTCTTGCTTATGGCTAATTCCCCAGCACTGATTTATGTCCATAGCAGAAAAGAACAAGTATTAGGATAGCATTGCCTCTTTTACATATATTTTCAGGTCTCCTTAATTAGGTAAGGTTTTAGAACTTCTTTAAAAGTACTTGTATAAAGAAGATTTTGGAAGTGCAGTCAGATTTCAATTTGACAGTGATATATAACCAAGGCAAAATTTTACTTTTACAGTTAAGCTTTGATTATACAAATATAAACAGTGGTAGTTTTAAATGGAATTCTTCATTTTCCAGATGTTACAAAGCATTCATCCTTCCATGGTACACTATGGAACTTTAATTCCACCTTATCCTTCTGTACTTTGTTTTCTAAGTAATTTTATTTAGTACCTGAAATCACTAATCATAGACCTTAAAAGTAATATATTCTGCTGATTTCATTATATATGTTAGCTTTCAAATACATCTTAAAGGTGTTGAAGGGAAGATCACAGTGAAGAAACTGATCATATTTTCTTTTCCTTTTTCCAAACTAGGAGCCTTGATTATAGCAGGAAGCTGAAAAATGTAAGTGTTTTAATTTCACTTTCCAAACTTTTTTCCTTCTAACTTTGATGGTTCAAGTGTAAAATTTAGCTCATAAGTTCAAGGCCTCTCGAATGCCTTGCTAGAAAGAATCTTTCTTAGGAAACAATTATATGTGCCTCTGATAGACTAATTAATGACTCTGATAGAAATAAAAATGGTAGATTTTGCGGGGAGGGGTGGTCTCTTTAATTAGATAAGGGCTTAGTCCAGAAATAAATAAATGAAAGCTTGCACTCCATTTGTAATTTGGTTTCTTAAACACAGAATGATCTGTTTTAGCACTAACATTACTTCCTTGCCATTGGTAGGCACAGATGGGATTATTAAATTAAGCAGCTGGGCAGGTTGTTTTGGGGAAAAGATTAGCATAATATAAATAGTTTTGACTGTTGTGGGCCTGTACCTTTTGTGGTTTTTTTCCTATTAATCTTTTGAGTTTTTATTAGTACCTTCCAAAATCAACTTTTTAGAGTTAGATCTTATTTTCCAAGCAAGTATGTTAGTGCTCTTTTATTTTAAGTTTAAATTGAAGAATGTAAGAAATGACCTTCTGTATATAAAACTTTTAAATTGGCTGTGACCCTCCCCTTTTGAAGAAATTTTCAGGGTGCTATTACATTTGATTGACATTCTCATTCTTATCTTCTTTTTCTTCCTCTATAAAACCAGGGATATTTGACATTTTTCATCATACAATTTTAAACAGAAACCCCATAATCTAAAACACAACACAGTTCTATCTGCCGTTTTCCTATTACACTTTTCAAGAGAGCCTCATACTCTTAGCCCACATTAGTTATTTTATGGCTCGAGTTCATGTCCTGACACTCGCAATTTTCTGCTCTCTGGAAAGTTATTTGTAAGCAATCAGTTAAAAAATAATTTCTGGAAGTTTTGAAGTATTCCTAAAGTCACCTTTTCCCACAGAGGTAGAAAACCAGATCACATCCTAGCAATGATGCACATAACCATATCTTGGGCCTGTTGCCATCGGAAGCATGTATACATATCACATTGTACAAAGCATTTTCTGGCCAAGTAGAGGGAGGTACAATAAATACTCCCCAGCCTAGTTGAAGCAATAAGACCAAATGTGAAAACAAAATAATAGTCTTAGCTTTTCCCTAGGCTTCAGATCCCAATAATTCAATTTTAAGGAGCTCATCTTCAGCTGACCCCTGTTGGGTTCTGTGGGAAAGTCAATGGAAAGAGCCTTTGCTTTTGCGGACAGTTTCTTTGGAAAGACAGAACAAAATGTTAACCTAGGACTGTAGCTTCAGACCAGTGAATATTCATAGACATTCTTAAACATCCAAGGTTGTTAATTGGCAGTAGTCTTGACCAGGCTAAAAATTTCCCATCTCAGATTAAGAGGAATCTAACCGTACCCCCAGAACTAGGTCTCTGCAGATTGCATTCTTCATTACATTGCTGTCTTCTGACTTTAATTAGATATATTTTGTTGATCTTGTGCTGGAAACCACTAATTAACCTTTATCACTCCTCTGAAAAATGTTTGCCAGTGGTCTTAGCAGAACCTCTGTGCCCACAAGTAGAAATTATGGGCCTTTAAAAGCACCTCTCTCAAAAGGGATTGACAACCTGTTCCATTGCTGGTCTGGGGAAAGACTCCAGAGTTTCTGAAAAATTTTGCTTCCTGGTTTTGAAGCCTTCATGACATGAAAATAATTTTGGAGGATTTATTTTTCCTCCTTGCTGTCTTATAGATCACATTCTCACAACCAAATTCTTCCTAAAACTGCAGTCTTATTTTAACTACTGAATCGTGTTTGTGTTGACCGATGCAACATTGGGTCCTTATTAAAATGATTTTACCTAGAATGGATACCTCATGGATGGTGGGCTTTGTAAATTAATGTTACACATTCTCTCCTCCTGCTTTCCTGTTAGGGAAGCATTATTGATTCTTTAGTTTAAAAGTAATTCTTTGTGCGTGGTTCTCTTTCCCAGGTACTAGTGACTATCTACTGGCTGGGCAAAGCAGCGAATAGCTGTGCATCTTACAGTGGGACAACACTAAACCTGAAGGAGTTCGAAGGCTTGCTGGCTCAGATGAGGAAGGTAACTTGACTTTTCTTCTTCATGCCGTGACGTTCAGACAAGGTGGGAAAGCAACACATTTGCTTGTTTTTAAGATCTTTACAGTTTCACGTGGTAAAATTGCACAGGCCAAATATGTCGTGCACTCAAGGAAATGACCGCTTGTCTTACCAATGCCATCTTTGCCTCATACACCCACGCCTACCTGAACTTTTATTCCCTTCTGAGAATGGGAGATCTGAGCTTTATCCAATTTTAATTCCAAAAGAGAAAGTTCAATCCGTCCGTATATGACTTTAGATACCAAAGAGCTCAGTGCTTATTTTCTTGGGGGAATAATGCCTGAATTAAACAATACAGCATTATACAAAAATGAAGACTTGCTCTGCACTTTCATCCTAAAGGTCATTTTGCTTACCCATCAGGGCCTTGGTGTGGGTGAAGTAACATTAGCCAAGTTCTTGCCTGGGTACCCACTCCGGATGGGCTCTGAAAAATTAGAAGCATTCTCTTCAAAGATGCATATTTTATGACCATTGCATTTGAATGACCTGGAAATTTGGAAAACATGTTTTGTAATAGTCAAAGCTTTATTTGTGTATTTAATTATGGGAAAGACTGACCTAAGGTAGGAATTTGTCCAAGAAACAGTGCAGTGTTTTTTGTGTGGCTGCCTATGTGTTCCTTTTTAGGATTCAGCAGTGTACATTAACTCACCCAAAGTACTAGCATACAGTATTCCCCGGGAGCAGCCTCACCCAACAGGCCTTAGTGAACAGGTAAGGCTCATTTGTAATCAGTAGCATCCGTGGGTTTTGGATAAGACCCATAGTGCAGCATATATAATTAAGACCTTCTTCTTCCTCTTTTCTCTAACATGCAAATTAAATGCACCAGTGAGACCTCGTTGAGAGACATTCTGTATTTTACGGATTTTCTTTTAATACTGAAAGCAAGAATTTGCTCCAACTTTCTAATGATTTCTTCTTTTTTTCCTTAAAGCTAATAGTTCTAATAATTCTTTGCATTTGGCTAGAACCAGGCCGGCTCATATATGTGTAAATGGACAAAGCTTTCATATTAGTCATAACACATATAAACAAAGTCCTTGAAGCTAAATTCCTTGAAAAATAAAATAAACACACCACTCAAACACAACACATTGTTTCTTAGTCTTAACCCTTATTTGTCCTTTAATCTTTCATCTCTCTCAATAAAGGATACTTAGGGAAAATACAAAGGTAAGTTTCAGTATGGATTTGTGAACTCTAAATGTTTGCTGGTCTTATGTTAAATTTGGACTTGGATAATGATAGATGGATTATCTGTTTTAAACTATTGAAAAGCTCTGCCCCATAGTTTCCCTGCTGATTTCTCTTGGAATCTGATTTCTTCTCGTTATTGATGTTTCTTATCACTAGTCCAGCTTCTCTATAATCTGAGCAGCTATTGGTCTGTGCAGCTCTCCTAACTTCCCTTTCTAGTGAGACGGTTGGTTACTAACAACTGCCTTGAAATCACCTGTTGTTGTGAACAGCTGTTACTTTTTTTTTTAATGAATATAGATGACCTCACAGGACATGAGGGAGTAGTTAGTATCACTGGCCAAAGCGTGACTTAACTAAAAATGGCCAGCTGTGGTGTTCCCATTTAAAGAGAGTAGTGGTGTCTCTAGATAAAGAGAGTAATTGACTTGAATTTCACAGGTCTATCCAATGCCTGAAAATATTAGATTCATCTAAAGTGTATACTATCTCATTTTATCAATTAAGATTGAGTTTAACTGGGAAATGCAGACAACTCCGCCAGTGGCTTAAATAAGATAGAGTTTTATATCAAACTCACATAAGGTCTGGACATGAGCAGTCCAGGGCTAGTGTGAGGGTCCTGTGACCATCAAGGGCTCAGGCTCCTTCCGTCTTTTTACTCTACTGTCCTCAACTCACGGACACTCACCTGCTGGTCCAAGATGGCTGCACAGGCTTTAGCCTTCACGTCCACCTTTGAGCCAGGAGAAAGGAGGGCTGAGGAGAAGAAAGGCCTATGCCTTCCTTTAAACACACTTCTGGGAAGTCATGCACTACACTTCTGCTCACATCCTATTGACTTGAACTTGGTCACGTATCCATACCTAGCTGCAAGGAAAGACTTGGGGAAAGTAGATTTTATTTCATTTAAAAACTGTGTGTATTTTCACTGGAGAAGAAATGGAAAACAGATATTGAGAGACAACTGGAATCTCTTCTGCACATATACATGCTGAAATAAATTTGAAATTAAAAGCTTTTCTTTCACAAAGGAGGCTAGCGTGAAATTTTTTTATATTCGTTTTTTTCTAGTGGGAGAAATGTGCATAAAAATGATTAACTGTGGTACAACTTGTTAAGTTCTGTAGTGCAAGGAACACATGTAGAACCCTTAACATAAGCATCGGACGCATAGTAGATGTTCGTAGTAGGTTGCTATTGCTATAGACAAAAAAGGTCTCTGGGCTTCCCTGGTGGTGCAGTCGTTGAGAGTCCGCCTGCCGATGCAGGGGACACGGATTTGTGCCCCAGTCTGGGAAGATCCCACATGCCGCGGAGCGGCTGGGCCCGTGAGCCATGGCCGCTGAGCCTGCACGTCCGGAGCCTGTGCTCCGCAACGGGAGAGGCTGCAACAGTGAGAGGCCCGCATACCGCATTAAAAAAAAAAAAAAAAAAAAAAAAGTCTCTGAAAGCATCATGACAATGGCCTTTCACTGGGCCTGGATACGTCAGAGAAAGTCTCCCAAAGGAAGGGACACTTAAGCTGAACCAAGGGGAATTACTACGAGAATAGTGAGATTAAAGGGAGCACTGTAGGGATGAGGGTGGCCCTAGAGATCTCAGGACCTGCAACTAGAAAGTCAACGTTCTAGGTTCTTCCTCTCTCTTTCTGTCTCTCTTCTCTTCCAGTCTCTTCTTGAATTCATCCTCTCCTCCAGTAGGCAAACACTCTCTCATAGCAGAGACCATGGCCAACAGCATCCCCGGGATTATCTGCTCCTAGCTTCTTGCCCGGAAGGCAAGGAATTCTTCTCCCTGGCCCCAGCTTTAAAATTCCTAGGGTGTACTCTGGTCCAGTGTGGGTCCTATCCCTGAACCAGTCAGTGTGACCAGGGACAGGGGATACCATGATTGGCCTAAGCCAGTACTGCCTCAGAGGGTGCTATCAGAACAAGGGGTTAAAGAGGGGGGAGCTTGATGGGCAAACAAGTACAAGACCTTGGCCTAGAGCAGCAGCCATCATCAGCTTCTCTTCCCTGAACCTGCTTTATTTTTTCATGATACTTACCATTCAACTCTGTATTCAAATTTGTATTTATATACAAATTTGTATTTGTATATTTTTCTGTTTGTTTTTTGCCTTCCCTGCTAGAGCATAAGGCCCATGAGGACAGGGAATTTATCGAATTTGCATAACATTGTGTCCCCAGCACTGAAGACAGTGCTTGGCACATAGACAATGTTCAGTCAGTATCTGTGGAATGAATTGCTTCACCGACGAGAGTATGGTGGGTAGAGATGGCTCATCAGGCTGGAAAAGTAGAACCTAACACACTGCAGAATAGGATTTAGCCACCTTATAAATCACAAAGGAAGCAGAAAATGGTGAGTGGTAAAAGAGAGGCATCTGGAGTTTCTCAGATACCAGAAGTCAGTCACCAACTGTAGCTGGTTCTCATTATCTCTGACAAAGGAGGATAAGAAGAGGACAGATGAGTAAAATAATCCAAAAATATTGTGGGAGCTAGTAATTCACATCCCATTCATTAACACACTTTTACTAGAACAACCAGCAATTAGCACAATGGACAGATTTGAGTCTTATCCCCTTTCCCTGGAGTGCTCTCTGTAGAAGACAGGGTGCCACTACTGGGCATCTAGATGGAAAGCGTAGACGACGTAAGAGACCCCGAGTACAGAGCACTTAGACTGTGCTAGCCTTTGTGTTGGTTTATATCTTCTAACCCCGCTCCCAAAGCTTGCCTCTGGGTGACTTGATGGAATCCAATAAAATTGTTCATCCCGCGGATGTCCAAATCTTTATTTCTGGCTAAAGAGCCAGCCTCTTGCTTCACCCTGAGGTTTCTAAGGGACCAGCTTGGCCAAGGATGGCCACAGGTGGCCTGGTTTTCACTTGTCAAACTGACCCTGCCGTTCAGCTTCCAGCTCTCACTTGACCCAAGGTTTAATTCTTGGCTTTCTACAAAATCATGAACAGAACGGCCTTTTTGTTTTTCTTTCCCATAACTGGCTGCAAGAAAGCAGCTGGAGCTCCAAGAAGCATGTCAACTTTCTCTTTTTCCTTTCTGTTCTCCTGTGGTCTGTAGGATAGGGTGGGGGAGACATTTGGGTGTTGGGGGAAACTTGCCTGATATTATTTTCTTGAAAATCCAGTTTTGTAATTCTGTGCCAAGCAGCTTGTAAAATTGTGTCATTTCTAGATGTTACCAGTGGCTCGACTTCCTGAGTGTCTGCCCTCCCTGATGGGAAATTGGGCCCAAGGCATCTAGTTATGGGATATAAATGGAGAAGGAGATAGAAGAGTATCCGTGTGTATATAAGATTATGTCCTTAACTGCATTTATAAATTTTCTATGATTTATATATTGACATTTACCTGCCAGATGAATACATAGGAGTGATTATAACGCAGCTAACATTTTTCGAGCACTTATGCGTCAGGTGTTTTTCTGAATGCTTTCCATATAGTAATACATTTAACCTTCCCAGCAATACTATGAGATAAATATTATTAGCTCTATTTTACAGATGAGAAAATTGAAACTGGGCAAGGTAAAGTAACTTGCCCAAGGTCAGACAGCTGACAAAGGGTGGAGCCAGGATTTAAACTGTCAGCTGAGCTTCCAAGACCATGCTTTTAACCTACTCTAAACTGTCTCTCTTTTGCAGCACGTATAGGTTGGTGATCTAGGCATAAACAGTGTTTAGCGAAGGGACATTATCCAGGTTAGTGTCATCCACTGAGTAAGCAGGCAGTAAGTGTCCAGCCGCTGGGAGAGGTGATGCTGTTGTTGACAGCTGTAACTGTACCAAAGTTCATCAAATGCCAGGTTTTACTGTTTGGTAGTTGAAGACAGAGTCTTGTGTTAGAATCACAGCTTTGCTGATTACTGTGTGACCTGAGTCAATTTACTCAACGTCTCTGATTCTTTTCTCCTCTATAAAATAGGGACAATGGTAACCCCATCATTGGGGAGCAGGTTGTGAGGACTAAAGAACAGAGCATAGAGAAAGCATCAAGCATAGCCCCAGACACATAGTAAGTGTTCAGTAACATTAGCCATTTAGCCTATTCTCAGTGGATAAATAATCCAAGATAATTACTTGCATTCCCAAAGAAATTAAATGCAAAACCATATCCAATTTAGATGTATACTTTTCAGTTAGTCATGAATTCTTTTTCCTGCTAGTCAGGCCTGGCTTTTGTACAAGTCCTGGTTAATTTTGACCTAGGAGTAAACTAAAATACCTTAATTTCCATAACTGGAATTTCTGCCTTCCTCGGGAGGGTCATGTCATCTGTAGTCACCCAGGCTGTTTGACAACCTGTTCTTCAGGGGCACTAATCGGATCCTCGGTGTGGCTGCAGCAGGGTACCCCCCTCAACCCTGCCCTTCCCCTTTTTCCTACTCCTTCTCCTGATGCAAGACCACTGTGCGTGCCTTGTGAATTACAGCTGCTCTGTCCCCCCAAAGGGCCCCCTGCTGGGGAGTGTGTCAGAGGATCTGGTTATAATTGATAGAAGCAGCTGGCAAAGGCACTTCCTAAAAGGCTTTGGCTCCGGCGAACATATTAGTCAGTGTAGACAGTTTCCAAAATTGCTACCACGGAGAATTTTTTTTTCTTTTCTTTTCTATGGGGAATGGGGAGGGGACCTGCCTGAGAATCCCAGGAAATCTTCAGTGGGACCTTCCAGTCTTTGCGGATGTCCTTCACAGCCCTGATTTTAAGCAACAGTCTGGGAGAGATTAAATTGAGGTTTATCTTTGAGTGACCGGAGTTATTTCTGTTTTCGTCAGCTTGGACTCTTGTAATTAATGCTAAGACACTGGCGGGAACAAGGCTTTTATTATAATTCGAGGGTGAGGATGGCTTTGACTGACCTTTCTTCTGCTGGAGTTTCAGTGTTTTAGTATGTGCTGCTTGCGCTGGAAAGAATTTATAATCACAGGCTGTCAAAGACAGCCATTGTTCTCACTGCTCTGAACATGTGGGTCAGCCACAAGTGCTTTCAGCTCCCCCAGTGCCAAGAGCTGGCCGAGCGCGAGAGCATGCCTGGATTCTTCCGAGGCATCAGGAAAATCATTTCACATATTTTTCCCTGCTTTTTTTTTTTTTTTTAAATTTTTTGCCCCAGAAAGACAGCTCCCTTTCAGAGCAGGAATTTCCCTTCAAGGTAGCAGAAGATGGAAACATGCTGCTCCAGGATTTTACGGAACTGATTCTGCTGCAAAAACAAATGCTGTGTGCATTAGCCAGACAGCATAAACAGAAGCAGTTGTGCAGCTAAACCGGGGACTGGGTCCCAGAACAGACATGCAGTTATGGATCCTGAAAGATGGGTCAAGGTTAAGGTTTTAGTTTCTCATTTTTGTTTTTATCTGTCATTATATTCTTGTGAATCCAAACTTGATGATCTTTTATTCTCAGTTCCTTGGACTTTTTTTTTTCCAACATTGTGGAGTACGAGATGCTTGGGGATTTTTTTTTTTTTTAATACGTGTGATTTTCGGATTGAAAAAGTTGCAGCAGGGAAGGCTTAATGAAGTGTTGTGTAGATGATAATCAATTTGATAACTGGTTGCCGTAGCCTTTCCAGATTGATTCTATATGCAGGATTTTTTGGAGACCATTGGAGATTGATTTTCCTGATATTTGTAGCCTCGATGTCTGTTGCTGTGATGTCTGTAATCCTTTCTTTTTCTTCTTGAACAGGAGACTGATGACGTTGAGAGCCCTAAACGTAGTATTCGAGACAGTGGCTACATCGACTGCTGGGACTCTGAGCGCAGTGACTCCCTCTCTCCCCCTCGACACGGCAGAGATGATTCCTTCGATAGCCTGGATTCCTTTGGCTCCCGTTCCCGGCAGACACCTTCGCCAGATGTAGTCCTCAGGGGAAGCAGTGATGGTAGGTTGGAGCCTTAATAAACTGCACATCTTAGAATCAAACATTAACAAGGGCCCCCTTGTCACCGGCCAAGAGATTGGCCCTAGAAAGGTAGACTCCATATCCACCTTGCTGGAATCTGGTAACTCTAAACTGGTAGGGAAAAAGATCTCTTAATGTTGTTTTTCGTGGTCCTTAGAATTTTGGTTGGCTTTGCCAGCAGCTGGTTTGAACACTGCCTCAATGAGCGTATCATCTGTTGGAAAATGTGTTACATCATTCCTCCCTGGGTCTCAGTAAACCAAGACGCTGTGCAGACCATTAGCTCATAAAGTGTGCCGAAGGTTTATATGCTCCAGGTACGAGGAAGGGAAATGTTTGAGTGAGTACCACACTGTGTAAGTGAAAGTAGATCAACTTCCAGCAAACTGGAAACACACTGCACACACTTAGGAAAGCTCTGAAGCTTGGGATTGTGAAACCGTAATTGGTACAGTTTGGGCAATGCTTTTGATACCTGACCATTGACTAGAGCGATGCCGGTGGCCATTAACGTATAGAACACAGCCCAGACTGCCTGTTTCTTCTGAGGCTGGGTTTGATTTAAATCCCATGCATTTTATGTCACCTGAAAGGAATGATCATTTTTCTTTACAAAAATGTATGGTCATGCAACCTGATGTAAATTGAACACATGTTTTCCAAGAGCTGTTTACCTTACTTATCTTGCACCTTTGTGCTTTTAGGAAGGGAAGAGAGATTGGCTCTGCATGTATAAACTTGCAGAAAGACACTTAGCCTGGTGGGGAATTTTTTTTATTTGTGTCTATTTCTTTTTCATGTATTGCTTGACTGAAGCTAATGTTTCTAGAGACTTTAAGTCTTCTGTCTGAGATGAAAATTATCTTTTATAGCTAAAAGATCCCTTTCAGCTATAAAATTCTATGTTACCAAAATACTTGGGTACTTAACATGCCCAGGTCCTGAGTTCATTACTCGACCCCTGGTATCTCATTTAACCCTCAGCACATATTACAAGATACTCAGTATCTGACTTAGTCCTCTGTGAAACATTCCTTAGTCATATTTTACAGATGAATCTTAGAGAGGTTAAGTAATCATCCTAACATTGTCTTTTTTTTTTTTTTTAAGTAATTTTTATTATTTATTTAGGCTGCGTTGGGTCTTCGTTGCTGTGTGCAGGCTTTCTCTAGTTGCGGCGAGCGGGCTTCTCATTGTTGTGGCTTCTCTTGTTGCGGAGCACGGGCTCTAGGTGCATGGGCTTCAGTAGTTGTGTCACACGGGCTCAGTAGTTGTGGCACGTGGGCTTAGTTGCTCCACGGCATGTGGGATCTTCCCGGGCCAGGGCTCGAACCTGTGTCCCCTGCATTGGCAGGCGATTCTTAACCACTGCTCCACCAGGAAAGTCCCCTAACATTGTTTTTAAGTGCCCTAAGTCGCTGTAAGTAGTGTAACAATGTTAGCCTCAAGAAACGTGAGTCCAAAACTTATACCCTAAAGCTTAATTTACCCACACTTCTTTCTGTTTGCCTAATAGATTTTTCAAATTCTAGCATGACTGAACTAACGCTTTTGTTTAGTACTTAAACTTTCCAACAACTAGATTAGCCTCAGGGCCACATCGTATGTGACTCCTAAAGAATTCCATGGTGCATTGTGAACTGCTTGAAAAACATTTCTAAAAATTTACATGACATCTTAAGTCCCACCCACAGTATTAGAAGTTACAATACCAACTGCATGATCTAATTGACCTTTAACATAACTGAAAGGGAGATTTACTTTTGTGAAACATATTTTAACCAAACTATTTCATCCATATTATTTTGATTGTTTTAAAAAATTATTATTGTCTCATCCTAGTTTTTAATAACTGGTAATGCAGATCCTTTATTTATTCTGTCACCAGCTTCGAGGGGTTCAGAGTTTATAATGAGCTACATCTTGAAGGGATTTGAGATGGTAATTACTAATATTGTACTAATCTGTGCTGAGGCACAATTTCGTTTGCAGCAGTTAAGATTGATAAGCCAGAGTCTTTTCATAAAAGTTTTTCCCATGTAAAGAAAAACATGAAATTGAGCTTCACAAAACACCATCCATGAAACAGCATCTTAACATACAGCTTTCACCAATCAGCCTGATACCTTCAGGCTTATGTTCTTGTAAACTAATCAAGACCTAATGAGGTTTTAAAGAAAAACAACACTTTTTATCTGCCTTAAAAAAATGTGGTATAATTTTATCCAAATAGATGTTGTATTTCATTAGAGCTTATGGTATATTTTTTAAGTGATGATAATCAAGAAGATTGCTGGTCCTAATAAACACTTCCAAATTTAGAAGAACATTTTAATTCTTGAAAACTTATTTCCTAGGACTCACAGTCAATTAGGGAAAGTCTTACCATGAAATTCTCCAACAACATATTGGCTCAACAGAGAGAGTTTTCATTTTATTATTACTGAGGTCCACTGACCCATTCAGTAGGGATGACCAAGAGCCACACTCGTAAGAGGTGCCACGATTCCATGGGTTGGACACGAGAGCCACCTGGTAAGGAGGCTGTGGATCTCCAGGGTCAATTCAGCCAATCTGGCTTGCTAAATAAGTGCCCAGCTCCTCCCTCACCCTCACTGGCATGCCTTCTGAGGCCACTAATAAGCTTCCCTGAACAGGAAATACAAAACCTTCCACTCAGGTGCTTTTAAAATTAAGAACATATTTTATAAACACAATGCATATTGTTAAATAAATATTCTTATCTTTTATAGAAAAGACGAGTTAAGGGAGAGAAATAAGGAATGAGAGAAATTAGAGTGTTAGAGGAGATGAAAAAGCAATGGGTTGGCGGTGTGTATGGTAAAGATACATAAAAAAAGATAGACCCGGGCTTCCCTGGTGGCGCAGTGGTTGAGAGTCCGCCTGCCGATGCAGGGGACACGGATTCGTGACCCGGTCCAGGAAGATCCCACATGCCGCGGAGCGGCTGCGCCCGTGAGCCATGGCCGCTGAGCCTGCGCGTCCGGAGCCTGTTGCTCCGCAACGGGAGAGGCCACAACAGTGAGAGGCCCGCGTGCCGCAAAAAAAAAAAAAAAAAAAAAAAAAAGATAGACCCCTAGTTGCTGGAAGGGAGAGAAACGTAGCCCAGGCGTAAAGGAAGGATCAGACTTTGATAAAAGTATGTCCGCCTCATCACGTGCAATGTTGGGCATAGATGGAGATGCCACCCTAGTACATTTTCATGTTTTCAGGGTGAAGTCAAGTCAAGATCTTTTTGGGCTTCCCTGGTGGCGCAGTGGTTGAGAGTCCGCCTGCCGATGCAGGGGA